CCTCTATGTGGGGCTCCTCTCTCTGTCTCCATTTCTTTGTCTCTCTCTCTCCCTCAACTGCCATAAATTGAGCAGCTTTCCTGTTATCCCCTCCCATCAGGTCATTTCTGCCTTCAGCCAATTTATCATGGCTTGAACCACTGAAAACCATGAACCAAAATAAACCTCTCCTTCTTACGTTGTGAATGTCAGGTATATTTTCCCACTGATGGAAAAGTGAGTAATACAACCAAAATACCTCTTATTTAAAGATGTTGAAGAATCTTAATCAGGGGTGTATATATGTATGTATATATATGTGACTATATTAAATCATATGCATATATTAATATATTGTATTCATTATATTAATGAATATATGTTCTGTTATGTAATATACATTCTTGCATTTTATGTGTATGTGTTTAAGGTCATTCTAACTGTCTTAGCTGGATAACAGATATGGAAGAAAGAAGACAGACTCAAGATAGCCTTAGGGACCACTGACGACGAGAATGGACAGCAGGAGAGAGAAGCTATAAAAATGTCCATCTTCTTGATCTTGCTAGGTTGATGGTAATATATTTACTTCAGTAATTAAGACTTCAATGATGGACCTGATGCAGCAACTATGGGCTACAATAAATGTTGTATTTTGCTTTGGATTGTTAGGACCTAAATTGAAATTTTAAATCAGTTTGAATTTCAAAGATCTAACCAATATTCCTAAGCTTGTACTCAGAGATTAATCAAATTCAGTAGTTAAAAAAGTAAAAGCAACAGTTCTTGGTGTCTACACTTGCACCCTTTTTAGAGTTGGAGAACAAAGGGAAAGGGAATGGAAGGAAACAAATACTCTGAAATTATTCTCTCTACTATTTATTTCCTATAATCAATGGAGGATGTCTCTCTTAAGCAAAAATGACCAGCACATGTGAACACGTAAGTGGATACAAACGACTGGACCAGTAACTCCTAGGTGAAAGCGCTCTATGATGATGTTGGTGAAAGTGAATTATACCGCCTAAATATTTTACCTACTCAAGTAAGTCTAATTTGGATGTGAAAGTAAGAGTCAGAAAATTCTTGAACTCAAAACCATCTACCTTGGTGGATAACTACTTTCTTAGTGTTACAAATAATTTCATCCAACACTTATGAACATTTTTCTGATACCCCATTTACCATCATCTAGCATGTTTTGAAGAAGTGAGTTGTAGCACATGAAGGATATATGACTGATGGAAAGATAGTGCTTTCTGGTAATTGTGAGATTACTCTGTTAAGGTTTGTGTCTGGATGTCCTCACAAAGTCTCATGTGGTCATGGGAGGCAGCTAAATCTAGAGTTTGTGACTGGATTGTGGTCTAGTGATGAGACTGAGGCTGTGAGTGCTACACCCATTGTATATAGGAAGGTAGCCTATATACAATACAACAGATGGAAAGAGACTTGTTTAATCTCTCTCTCTCTCTCTCTCTCTCTCTCTCTCTCTCTCTCTCTCTCTCTCTCTCCTTTTTCTATCTTCACTCTTCACTGCTATGAACTGTTGCCTCCCTGCTCCTCGGCCTTGGAACCAGCTGATCATGGACTGAACTCTCTATAGACTGTGAGCCAAATAAATCTTTCCTCCTTTAACTTTGGGTTTCAGGTGTTTTTTCTCAGCAATGAGAAAAGTAACTAAGACACACTCCTTCAAGCAAACAGATTGTACAATAAACACTTTGGGCCGTGAATTGTTAAATGTCCTGGTGGGAAAGATCCAAGAAGATGGTAGTCCCTTCCAAGGTAGCTATAGCGCCGTGGCATTACATGATGAGGGTATAGCAAGCACACGGGAAGGTCGGAATGGTCCCCTAGAGTTATGCTACGTGGCAGTCCTGAGCAACCTCTTTCCTACATCTATATCTTACCTGCCTAGCCTAGCCTATTCAATTATCACATAATTTGTAAGTAGGAAATGGGATGGAAATTCTTTGACAAATGAGACTTCCCCCAAAATTCTTCCCCAGCACACACAGTTTTACTAAGTATCTGACGCCTCAATTCACCTCCAAATGACATCTCAAAACAATCCTATCTTCTCCATGTTCAAACTCTATACTCAGACACCACTGTCTCAAAAATTAGAACAGTGTTCTCATGCTTCCACTATGTTCTCTCCTCCTATTCATTTTCCACAAATATCCACAGTGACGTTATTTCGACTAAATTCTTGATCACCCCTTCTTAAAACACACCAGTGGTTTTCTAATTCTTCTAATACAAAACCTCCTAAATCACTTGGCCAGCAAAGCCTCTACATGTCTTTTCCAGGGTCTCTCTCTGGTCATGGCTTCGATTATCCAGCATCTCACTCACTATCTTTGAGGTTCTTGTGCCTTCTTTTGGTTTTTCCATACAATCAAGTTTTTCTTCTGTCTTGGGACACTTGCATGTGCATTTGACTGGAATCCCCCTTGCATTTATCAGGAATTTCCACCTCCCAACCTTTGCTAATTTTTCAGGTTCTACTGTAACTGCTACTTCCTTAGAGAAGGTTCCTGACCTAAATAGGCCCTGAAGAAAGAGAGAATCTCTCCTCATCTCCTGTGCTGTATTTATTGACTGGATATCTATTCACTGACCATGAGAATCCTTGCATCTATACCTGTTATATCTGATGGATGAGAGAGTAGATAATAGACTCAGAGAGATCCAAGTTGGAGGCATATTTTTAGAAGTTTTTAACATACAGTAGACAGATAAAATTGCTAGAAAACATTTGTAGGAAGAGGGAAAGATGCCCAAAGACTTACAATTTCTAGAGACATCCCCATGTGTGAACAGCCGATGCCTAAGCAAGTCAATTCTCAGCTACCAAGACAGGAAAAAAAATCTATGTGAATACAATGAGGCTAGTGGTGACAGTGGCTTTGAAAGGTAACAGTGATGCTGGCAACAGTGAGAAAGAGAAATTTTTGTTTCTCACCACCATTTGCTGCACAGTTTCAGTAACTTATTTTGATTTCAAACTTTATCACAGTTGAGTTCTGCCTCGCAAGCATATAAACTGTAAAATATAAAAAAAAATCCCCTTTTTGAAAACCATAGGCAGTTTTGACAATATATTTGAATTCATTAACCTCTTAGCTCTGGTACGAGTCCATATTCGCAAGTATGACAATGATTAAGTTAATGAGTTAATCATTCCCTTCTAGTTACAACCTTTCTTAATTAGTTGACTTAAATTGGGGATTGGGAGGAGGAAGAAGAATCTTGTGTGGAGTTTAATTTCACAGTGCCAGATAAGATTTCTGAAAGCATTATTTTAAGATGCAGAGATGTAGACATATTTTTGATACTGTTTATGATTTTTTTAAGTTATCAAGTGCTACTAAGCTGATTGTGATACTTGAGCAAAATAAATCCCTCAGCAAGCACTGCAAGCCAGCTCTGCCGGAGCCAGGCCGTGAACCGGGCCCTATAAAGAACAGGAAAGGGAAGGCATGGGACAGCGATTTGTGAATATGACATTTATTAGTCTCCTCACCAAAAATAAGGTGATGGAGTGTATTTTCAGAATCAATTGTATTCAGTTAAAGGATTTACTTCCTATTCAATATCCTGTTCCTGGGTTTTTAAAAGTGTCGAAACTTACTCTAATGCCCTATATAGGCCCCACAAAAGACTCACAGTTCCATTATGCTGCCACTGTTCAAATAATATTCTCAACACGTTACTATTGCCCTTTCTCACTTAGGGTGTTGAAAGCTCTCTCTTCCTCATAGTCTGGCTCTCAATTTGTCAATTTTATCTGCTCCTAAAACCAACTCTGTTTCGTTGAGTTTTTATATTGTTTTGGTTTGTTGTTTGTTTTTAGACACTAAAACCAAATAAGAACACAGCAAAAATTAACTACAGGTCAGTATCCATAATAAACACAGACACAAAAATCCTCAAAAAAATATTAACAATTTGAATTCAGCAACCTACTAGATCCTTTGGCATGATCAGTGGAGACTCCTGTCAAGAGCCAAGGATGCTTCCTATACACAAATCCAAACACATGATAGATGAAGTCAACAGAACCAAGGACAAAGACACACAGTCATTTCAACAGATGCAGAAAGGCCTGTGAAAAACCTCAATGACTCTTCATTAAAAATCCCTCAACAAATGAAGCATAGAACGAATTGAGTTTATCTCAACTCAACGAAGATTATACCTTGTCAAACATCACACAGAAACAGGGAAAAGTTTTAAAAGCTTTTCCTCTAAAATGTAGAATCCGGCAGTTATCTGCTTTTGATCACTTTTATTCAACATAGTACTGGAACCCTTAACCAGAGAAAATAGACAAAAAAGAAAAGCATAAAAGCCATCAAAATTGAACAAAATAGTTCAATTACATCTTTTCAAAGATCACATCATGCAATATTTTCAAAACCCTAAAGACTCCACCAAAAAATCATTTAAAGTAATAATGAATTTAATAAAATTGAAGAAGACAAAATCAATACACAAAAATAAGTAACATCTCCACACACTAACTGCAAACTACCTACAAAAAAAGCAGGAAAACAATTTCATTTACAATAGCTGCAAAAAAAACTTAGAAATAAAATTAAAAAGGTAGAAAAGTTCTACAATGAAAACTATAAAAGATTGATTTAAAAAATTGAAGAAGACAAAAATAAATGGAAAGCATTCACATTCGTGTATTTACTATCATAATGTTAAAGTGCTCTCACTACTGTTAGCTACGGATTCAATAAATTACCAACCAAAATCCCAAAAGCATTCTTTACCGCAATAGAAAAAGCAATCCTAAAATTTACATGTACATGCAAAAGACCCTAATGGCTGAAATAATTTTGAATGAAAGGGGGGGGGGAGCCACAGGCATTATCCTATCTCACTTCAAAACATGCTACAAAGGTGTAATAACCAAAAGACTGAGCACTGCCACCAAAAAGACAGAATGACCGATATGGGGTAAAAGTCCATAAATGAATCCACATTGATAGCCAATTAATTTTTGACTAAAAAAAGTTTTTATAAAATATGCAATATAGAAATGATTTCTAAGTGGTGTTGGGAACACTGAACCTCCACATACATAAAAATGTAATTAGATTCTTATAAAAATTAACAATAAACACATTAAGATCCATAACAATGAAACTATTATGGAGAAGAAAATTTAGAGGAAATCATAAACTTTGGATTTGATCTCAAAACCATAGCCAACAAAAGCAAAATTAGACAAATGGAATTATATCCCACTAAAAAAACCTCAAAACCACAGATGAATCGATCAACAGAGTGGAAAAAAAAAAAAAACATGTTGAATGGAATGAAATATCTGAAAATCTTTCACCAAAAAGAAGTTAACATCTAAAATAAATAAGAAAAGTGACTCAGTAGCAAGTAAATAAATAACCACATTAAAATGGGCAAAATATTGAATAGATATTTCTCAAAAGAAAATATACAAATAATATTTGAAAAGTGCACTGTATATCCTACAGACATATGGAAAATAGTGTCACTAATCATCGAGAACTGTACTGGTACATTTTGATCACACCTTTGAATACACAATGTAATACAATCAGGGTATTACAGAAAAAAAGGAAATTCTTCCATTTGAGACAATGTGGATAAGAAAGAGGAGATCTGGCCAGGGACATAGCTCAGCAGCACAGTGCCTGCCTGGCAAGTGCAAGGTCCTGATTCGATTTCCAGTACAAAAAAAAAAAGGAAGGAAAGAAGAAAAAAAAAGAAAGAAAGATCAAGGGAAATAACCCAGGCACAGAAAGACCACCGTGATTTTACCCAGACGTGGAATGTTGGATCTCATAGAAACAGGGTGTACAGCGGGGATCGTTAGAGGCTGAAGTGGTCGGGTAGGGTAGAGATACAGGTAAAGAATATGTTAGATTGAAGAATAAGTTCCAGAGAACCACTGTGCAGCATGGTGACTACAGGAATGATGACACATTGTACCTCCTGGAAACTGCAGAAAACAAATGTCAACTATTTGCACAAAAATAAATAAATAAATAATTATGTGAGGCAATGCCATGACTTCAATTGTCTAGATTGAATCGTTCCATGATGTAGTCATGTATCTAAGCATCGGGCTGTATATGATAAATACATGAAATTTATCTCACTTTAAAAAATTCAAATTTACTCACTTCAGTAATTTCTTGTCCATACCTTTTTTTTTTTAATCAGTACCAGGAATTGAACTCATGACCACATGTTTGCAAGGCAGGTGCTTATGCCGCTGAGCTAAATCCCCAGCCCCTTCTTGTCCATACTCTTGCAAAGGCAAAGATTTTTTTAAATATCTTTGTTCTGACTTAATACAGTACATAGTGCTGAAATGACACACACCCATTCTGTAACTCTGGCGTTCAAAAGACTTTTCACTTACGTCCCTGTGTCTACAGCAGAATGAAGGAGAAAGTTAAAAAGACTTAGTACAGGGGAACCAGCTAAACAATTTGTAAAACAATTGCAGAGTTTCACTGGGGTTCTTAAAACATCTCTCTCTGTCTCTGTCTCTGTCTCTGTCTCTCTATCTTTCTGTTTTAACCTTGATTCTATCTTCAAATCCTAAAACACAGATCTTGCTTGGCTGAATTAATCTTTTATCTTTCCATTATTATTTAATCAAAATCAAAACACATTTTAATTTAAATGCTTTTAGGACTTTTTTTTTTAAACTATGCATTAGGCTTTAGAACTCAAAATTAATCAAAATTGGACTTCCATAATGTTATCTATCATTTCAAAGCAAAAAAAAAGAAACTTTTTACTTCAGAAGGGATCTTAGGTGTCATCAGTTGCTTACATGTTTTAACAAATTTTCCTTCATTTTACAAATGAGAATACTACATCCTCTGTGAAAGTAAAGTGTAGTCATTCTCTTGGGCAAACTTAAGCCCCATTATAAGAAAGAAAGCAAACTTTTGGAGACAGAAATGTAATGAAAACCTAATCCTTTCTGAAAAGGCCAGTGAGGGACCCCAAGACTTCCATCTCATCTACACGAAGGTCTCAACCGTTGGTTTCACATTAGCTCAAATGTTTCCCCCAGTAATGGAAATCAGGAACCCACACAGCTCCTGTGGCCTCAGCAGGAGCAAGAACAAGGAAGACAGAGCAAGCGGAGAAGAGAAGCCAGCCAGCACCGACCTCGCAAGGCACTCTGTCACCACGGGTCTGATCTGCATTGTTTCCACATACTCTGAAAAGCAAACGATATAAGAATTATGTGTAAGAAATCATGAACTTATTTCTGAGTGGTAAATACTACCTAGCATTTTTCACATTCACACAAAAGGATAATCTTACTTTGTCTGTTCTTTTCCTAATCTTGTTTTCGAACTCAGTTCTAAGCATCTTGAAGGCAGGGACTCTGGCACAGGGCTTGTACACACCACCTCGAAATCACAGTGCACTGAGGACACACATGCTGGCATGCTGAGATAAAATAGAATCCATCATTAATTAGATGCCACAGAAGGAAATTTGTGCCACAAGAAGGAAACTAAATAGTTCATACTGATTTAGAGAGATTAAATTTGCTGGCATTTCAATAAACAATTTGAAAATGTGTGGAGAATTTTCTTTGTTAACATTGCACGAATGTTTTTTGTTAACCTACAGTCTTAAAAACTAAAAATAACAAGAGTGATAATTCCAGTCTAACTTTGAGTGTATATATTACATATATAAGCATGTGCACAAATATATTCATATATACACATTCCCACATATACACACTCCTATACATGAAGGAATATGCAAAACCAGGCAATGTGCACATATGTGTGCATATGCATTGTGTGTATATGCGTGTGTGTGTGTGTGTGTGTGTGCGAATGGCAGTGGGAGGAAAGACAAGCCCTGAGCCCCTGGGCAGCCAAGCAGCTGCAGAGGATGACAGCCAGCATGACCTGCTGCCCTAAGATCATATGCTTTAGTGTCCCTGACTCGTGTCCCTGAGTTGACACTTGACAAATCAGATCTGTATTGATTTGCAGCCTCCTGGCAACACAGAACATGGTGTGGCGGGTACTGTGCAGAGTGGGAGAATTCAGAGGGAAGAGGAGGCTGCACTAGGAGGGGACAGGGACGCCGACACAGATAGCTTTCCTGTTCACGCATCAGGCCGGGGAACACAATCATTAGGAAAAACAGCAGCAACAAAACAGAGGACAGCCAGTGTGATCAGACAAAGAAGAATAGGTTCCTAACAAATCAGAAAGTGTAACTTGTGAAACTGCTTCTACAGAGCGCAGGATAAGGACATGATTTACTATGTTAAGCACCGCAGATCAATATAAGCAATCAGCACTGAGACTAAATGGGCACTTTTCACACTGGTTTAGGGAGTTTAACCAATTTCAGTATCTAAATCAATTGGTTTAAACAGGCTGATCAGTTTCACCACCTGAACTTTTCCTCCCTACTGGGATGCAGTTTAAGGCTGTTAGGAGAATGTTAAAAAGCATATACACCCAGTCATCTCAGAGACGACTGATTAAATATGGAATTTCTATTACAAGAAAAAATGATTAAAATTAAGGGGAGGGTGAAGGGAGCTGTGTATGCAAGTAAGGCTCTAAACATACGAGATCTCAGCTACACATCTGGTCCCTTAAAGCTGGCTGTCCCCAGACAGCCTCTGTGTGGAAGGTAGGGGATGAGGCGGTGAGGACGCAGAAGCTGCTCTGGACCCCAGGGACCTTCTGGCTCCAGCCTCCTCACAATTCTGAGATGTCATCCCCAGGGTGAGGGACCACCCTGGGAGAGGATTGACAGTTTCCACCGAAAACAGCTTTGCCAGAGACTAATCTTACAAAGTACTGCAGACGAATAGGGCCCGCTGGAGTGGGCGGGTGTTCACCTGCGGTCTCCAACGCAGGAGATGAGAGCCTGTCTGTCCTCACACATGCGCCGACTTAAAAAAAAATCACATAAAAAACAACATCTTTGCTACGGAGACGTTTTTAACAAGTATTACAGAAAGAGCACCAGCTACCAAAAAGAGTTGCCAGGGCCAGAAGGAGCCATCAATCGAAACAGTTTACATTTCAAAGTTTTTCCAAGAAGAGTGAAAACGTCTCCCCTCCTTGAAGGCAAATGGAGGAGCTGCGGGGAAGAATCTTTTGGCGTCTCCTCCTCCCTCCCAGGGCCTTTAACCCTCTGCTTGCTGCCCGCAGGTAGAGAGGCAGGATGTTTGCGTCACCCAGGGTTGTTCCCTGAGCAGCTCCCCACACACAGTGACGTCGGAATAGAAGTCCTCTTCCCTTTGTGAGTCACTGTGCTGCCTGCTCTGGGGCACTGTGAAATTAACAGGTCATTTTTACATCTTTATTCCGCACCCTCCTAACCTCAGTAAGGACCATCACAAATACTTCTGGAAGGCACTTTTTTTTTGCTCCTGGACATAATTCAGGAACAGAACACTTACAATCTAGGCAAAGAAGACTAACAATGCTACATCTTACCCAAAGTATGTATAACATGGGATTATTATTATTATTATTATTATTTAAAGAGAAAGTTTTCAAGCTTCTCTCTGTCCTGAGGGGGAAAAAAGAACATTTTAAAACACTGGCAGTTTTTAAAAGATGTACAATCTAAACATGCACTTTTGGTTTTAGCACTGAGTTTTCGGCTTAATTTTTCTGCATCCTTTCTAAACACCACCTATGATTTCCTGAGTCCCCTGGAACCCTTCTGCATACCTTCATTCTTAGTTCTAGAACCAGGTGCAATGGAAGCACCAGTCTAAAAAAATTTTTAATTTCACATTTATTAAGACTTGGTGGCAAAAACAACAGATACTCAGCAGCTTTCGTCACTGACTTGTGTCCTATAAAAATGGCCAGGTGTTCATTTCACTCCTCCCAAAGTGCCTTTAGGCCAACACTCCCGCCAAGAGATTCACATCCCTCTGACCAGCTGGCAATTTGTCCAGCAGTAGTGAAGACCCAGAGGTATAGCTAGTCCCCATTTGCTTAGAACGCAGTGTGAAAGGAAAAAAAGAGAAAAACTCAAAGGACCTCCTTCTATTTTTGCACGCACATACAAATGATGCTCATTATATTTGCAAAAAGTACAGTCACTTTCTTAGATTGACTTATTGATATAAATTGCACGATATCACTGAAAACTATTGCCAGTTTCCACACCAACAATCTTTGCAAGTACCATTGGTTCTCAATGAACTCATCCTGACCTCCTGGTCCAAGGCTGTCACCGTGTGATGTACATAATTCTCCCAACACTGATCCATTACTACTTCTGCTCAGTTCTGAGGGTCAGGCCAAGAGTGTAAAGTCAAAGATAATTAGCAGCCTATCAATAACCAGCCACCAGCTTGCCGTCTAAGTGACAGGCCAGAAAGCCAAGGAGGAGGCAGCAGTACAAAGCGGAAGGGAAATGCCAGAATATTGTGCGGTTCAAGCAGCTGCTCCGGACTCTCAGCATCACCAGGAGACCTCATTGCATTAGCATAAATTCAAATGACAAATGCACAGTGCTATTCAGAGACTCATTAATTTGCAATGGGTGCAGCGCTCATGACATATTAGTGCAAAATTCAAATGTCTTTGTAGCGATGTGAATTTAGTTGTGAGACCAAAGTCGCTAAAATGAAAATGTGTGGGGTTTTTTAGCGGTTTATTAAATTATGAACTGTGATGACTATATCCGTGCATCTTTTTAAGCAGATGAGGTCCGGCGTGCTCCAGCGGCAAATCGCATGGTTTGTGTTGATATTTTCCTGTCAGACAATTTCCAAGCCATGGATAAGATAGCAGACTAGCTGCTTTCTCCGCGGCGGGCGGACTGAGAGCTCCCCCTTCCGGACAAATGACATTTCACACGCTCCAAAACAGTCCTCTGGCCACTTATTGTCCTCTTTTTCTATGCATTGTAACAAGTTTTGATGCAAAGAAATCCGAGTCCATCTGACGCAGAAAAAAATAAACTGGATACACTGATTGTGAAGGAAACTACACGATGACTCTCCAAAACAGGCAGATACTCACCCTCCTCTGAAATGGGTCTTAGGTAATTTTGCACGCTGCTGCTTGGGAAACTTCTCATCCAAGTGCCTTCAAAAAGAACCACCTGGGGGCTGGGGATTTAGCTCAGCGGCATAAGCGCCTGCCTTGCAAGCAGGCAGTTGTGAGTTCGATCCTTGGTACCGGTAAAAACGAAAAAGACAAAAAAAAAAAAAAAAAAAAGAACCACCTGATGTATAGACCAAGAATAAAAGCAACAAAATAGTAAAAGCTGTTGTACTGATAAATCTTCCCCAATAGCATAAACAAGCTAACAGTCTCTCGCATCCCACTGTATTAAAATCAGCAAAGATACAGTCAGGAGCCTTTTAAACAAAGTATGGCTCCAATCAGTAAAATACTGGGATTACTTCTGGATTAATTTTGCCTCCAGAATTAACATAACCAAATGACAGGAAATGTCAACCCTCATACTGCTTGGTACCTGGTACCCACCCCTCACGCCAGGCCCACGCCCCAGCTGTAAATATTCAGGTTCACATCTAATACTTGAAAGATGGCTGTTTTTCAGTGGAAGCTGTAGTCTGCCAACCATACAACTAGCGCACTCTGATATAAGTTGAAAAGTCTGCTACTCTGTGAAAATTGCTTTCAGGAAAACAGAAAATTCAAAAGTAAGACAGTACCCCCTTAGCCACTTAAACTAATTAGTCTCATCCGGCCTACACTAAGTATATGCGAGCAGATGCTTATGAAAGATTATCCTCTTTAAGCCTATCACTTTTTAAACTTTCAATAAATTATATAATAGAAAAGGGGAGGTCTGGGGCCCTGTTAGCACTTACAGACTTAATTATGTTCTTTCTGGATGTTTGACTTATGAAGAATTCGGAAGAACCTTCCAATGAAAGCTGATTACTTTCAAGTTCCATTTTATATCGCTGGTGCTTTGTGTCATCCTCAACAATTAAACAAAAACAAGTTATTTGCAGTGGAATTGCTCTTCAGTTAGTTAGCATTATTTAGTGAAAACTGCTCCAGGGAAGATATGGCTCTAAAGTGGACTGACAAGCTCACCACATAGCAAACATGGGGAGTCGTGTGTACCCGAATAATACCAGGTTTACAGCTGCAGCCCAGCATCTAGACACCAGTTTCCCCAGTGATTTCTCTTTCACCAAGTAATTAGAATCCCAGACTCACAGCAGATTAGCTTGGGAAGGGCCATTGTCAGTCCTCTCTTGTTTCATGGATACAGAAACCAGAGGCTCAGGGAAGTTCTACACATTTGCCAGGATTTAATGGCGCCAACGAGACAAGAACTCTGTTCTTTAGAATCCTTTTTCAAACTTGGGCACACAGCAGAATCGCTTGGTGGGGTTGGAAAAATGGATTGCTGTGCCCACGGCCTGACTCCTTCGGTAAAGTCCAAGAATTCATTTGTAATATGTTACAGGTGATTCTGCCCTTGCTGGCCCACACACGCTGAGAAAGAAGCGTGTGCTTCTACACCAGTTTTTGAACAACTTCTATCCTTTTCCTACTACTTTTTCTCTTGAAGAACAAAACAAACTCAAGTGGATACTTTGGCGTCTACCTCAGCCCCATAGAGGGCTGAGGTAATATTCAGAATGTGAAAAACCTAAAAACCTAAAAAGACACAAATAAACACCAAGGCACTAAGGTATGCAGTGCCCTAAACATAAGGTTGTCTGAACTCAGTTTTTCTAAATCATAACAGTATCCACTCAGAAGCCAAGGACAGGGAGGATGCCCTATTCATCACTGCCTTTCCCACTTAGCTGTCAGTGTTTGGCCAGTGCAGAAGTTCGCCTCTTTTCAGTCTTAGAAGTGAAAGAACGTTCGCAGACCTGATGAATCATAGCATCGCCCATCACTGTCTGTAAAGCACTGGCAAATGTGTGCCCTGAGAATAGAAAACAGCCCCGCGTGTCTGCACTTGGACCACCTGTGCTTCAAGCACCAGCCCTGCAGGCCAGACTTCAGCACACTTGGTTTGGGGATGTGGTGTACGTAATCACAAAAACTATGTGCAATTAATGTATAAATTAAAGTGTCAACCTGAAATAAAAAGGACTGGTGTGGAGACAGATTTTAATTAGATACATTCAACTTTAATGTTGTTGTGTTCTTTGGCCCATTTTTATTGAGGCATACTTGTCTCTCTTTTCCTACCATTTTAAAATAAATTGTCTTTCATCATTTTTTCTAGAAAAAAAAATTTAATCTCATAGAATGGGCTTGATTTCAATGTATTCCATACATAAAATGGCAATTTTCTGAAAATCAGGAGTGATCTCTCCAAGTAGCATCCTTGCTCCTGGCATTCTTTCATGAATTATTACAGTAAAAATCTGAATTAATATATTGGTTAAGCCTCCACAGAAAATAATCTTTTATTTCAAAATCCTTGTCAAATAAAAATATTTCTCAAACAGATCTGACTGAGCCTTGGCCCTCTATTTACTTTTTTAATATTGTCTCCACTGTGCAGTGAGCCACACACACATCCTAGAAAAAGTCTCCTAAGCTCCAGTGTGATCCAGATATACCCGGGGTGCCCGCCCTCACTCCCCACCTACACCAGTGTTCCTGTCCCTCAGCTTCTGAGGCCTCCCATGAGCAGATTCCAGAGCCAAAACCCCATCCCCACTCTGGTACCTCCATTCTCATTTCTTCTTCAGCTGTAGATCAAACATGCCTCCTCTCTCCCACCACCTTCGAGTTGGTTGACATTTCTGAATTGAAGCAAAAGCTTTATTTTATTCCATCTAAATTAAGCTGAATTATTTAGTGATTCGATCATCATTATAAAAAATATCATGCATACCAAACGTGGAATTATTTTATTCAGAATGGAAGCTTATGTGAAAATGATTTTTCTTTACAGGATGCTGGAGTACTGATTCCTTTTAAAAGAAAGTCCCAAAATTTGCCGTTAAAAAAAATTGTAGCATAATTCAGGTTATTTGGCAAAAAATATATTAATGTCAATGGCCAACAGCTAACATCCTGTGAATACTGAGGCAGATAAATACTAGTCTATTCATTTAAGTTATCTGCTATAAAACTCCATTTTTTATTTATACCTTTTCATTTCAAAATATATGTGCATGTGCTATTTTTATCCCTGAGTAAAAAAATAAAGCTAGATATTTTCTGGTATGTTAAGCAAGTCTATTTTATCTTATT